GAACATATCTTTTTGAGGATTACAACACAATTTGTAGCAGTATGGACATATTTGTTTATCTAATTATTCACTCTTTGGAGGATATTTAGTTTTTTCTAGTTCTTTAGCTATTACCAGTAAAGGTTCTCTAAATATTCATGTGAGCATACGTTTTTATGTGAGCATAAGTTACAATTTCTCTGGGAAAACTGCCCAGATGTGCTATTAGTAATTGCAGGGGACTTACATGTTTAGTGTTTTGAAAGTTGGCTATATCATTATACATTCTAATCAGCTATGTGTGAGTGATCATTTATCTTTGTCTTTACCAGAATTTGCTATTGTTATTTTTATTTGAGACCTTCTAGTAGGTATGTAGTAATATCTTATTATTATTTTAATATATATTGCCCTAATGGCTTACATTGGAGAACAACTTTTCAATGTGCTTGTTTCTCATATGTTTTTTATTGAAATATCTATTAACTCTTTTTCCTATTTTCTAATTGGATTGTTTTATTACTGTGAAGCTTTTGACATAGTCTAGACACTCGTCCTTCATCAGATATGTGATTTTACAAATAGTTTTTCTCCCAGTCTGTAGCTTCATTTTCATTTTCTTGACAGAATCTTTTAGAAGAAAATTAAATTTTGGGCTGGGGATGTGGCTCAAGCGGTAGCGTGTTCGCCTGGCATGCGTGGGGCGCTAGGTTCGATCCTCAGCACCCCATAAAAATAAAATAAAAGATGTTGTGTCCACCGAAAACTGAAAAATAAATATTAAAAAAATCCTCTCTCTCTCTCTCTTTAAAAAAAAGAAGAAAATTAAATTTTAATATAGTCCAATTTATTTCACCTTTTGTGATTTATTCTTTTGGTATCAAGTCTACAAGTTCTTTGCCTAATCTTAGACCTTGAATTTTTTTACATTTTGCTAAAAATTTAATAGTTTTAGATTTTATATTTAAGTCCATGACCCATTTATATATATATATATATATATATATATATATATATGATTTGTTCTTTTTAGTTGTACATGACAGTAGAATGTATTTTGGCATATCATACATACATGGATTATAATTTCTCATTTTTATGGTTGTACATGATGTGGAGTTACACTGGTTGTGTATTCATATATTAACATAGTAAAGTTACGTTCAACTCATTCTACTGACTTTCCCATTCCCATCCCCTCTCCCTTCCCCACATGCCCCCTGTCCAGTTTGGTGAACCTCCACTCCTCCCTCCCTATTGCCTATTGTGAGTCAGCATCTACATATGAGAGAGAACTTTTGGCCTTTGGTTTTTGAAGGTTGGCTTATTTCACTTAGCATAATAGTCTCCAGTTCCATTCATTTACTGGTAAATGCCATGATTTCATTCTTTTTTTTTTTGGGGGGAGGGCTAAGTAATATTCCTTCGTGTATATGTATCACATTTTCTTTATCCATTAATATGTTGAAGGCCACATGGTTTGGATCCATAGCTTAGCTATTGTGAATTAAGCTGCTATGAACATTAATGTAGCTGCAACACTGTATTATGCTGATTTTAAGTCCTTTGTATATATACCATGGAGTGGGATAACTGGGTTAAGTGGTGGTTCCATTCAAAGTTTTCTGAGGAATCTCCACAACGCTTTCCAGAGTGATTGCACTAATTTGTATTCTCACCAAAAATGTATATCTTTTTCCTTACATCCTCACCAATTTGTTATTTGTATTCCTGATAATTGCCATTTTGACTAGGAGTGATGTGGAATCTCAGTATAGTTTCAATTTGCATTTCTTTAATTGCTAGAGATATTGAATATTTTTTTTCATATATTGTTGATTGATTGTATTTCCTCTTCATGAAGTATCTGTTTAGTTTCTTAACCTATTTATTGATTAGGTTATTTTGTTTGTGTGTGTGTGTGTGTGTGTGTGTGTGTGTTAAATTTTTTGAGTTCTTTATATATCCTGGAGATTAATGCTCTATTTGAGGTGCATATGGTAAATATTTTCTCCCATTTCTGTAAGCTCTCTCTTCATATTACTGATTGTTTTCCTTTGCAGAGAAGAAACTTTTTAGTTTCATTCAGTCTAATTTATTGATTCTTGATTTTTCTTCTTGTACTTTAGGAGTCTTGTTAAGGAAGTTAGTTCCTAAGTCAACATGGTAGAGATTTGGGCCTACCTTTTCTTCTATTAGGTGCAGGGTCTTTGTTCTAGTGCCTAAGTTCTTGATCCATATTGAGTTGATTTTTGTGCATAATGAGAGATAGGATTTTAGTTTCATTTTGCTACACACTGATTTCTAGTTTTTCCAGCACCATTTGTTGAAGAGGATATCTTTTTCCAATGTATGTTTTTGGCACCTTTGTCTAGTAGTCTAGTATGAGATAACTGTATTTGTGTGTGTTTGTGTCTGACTGTTGGTCTACATATGTGTTTTGGTGACAATATCTTGCTGTGTTTTTTTGTTTTTGTTTTTGTTTTTTGTTTTTTACTGTGGCTCTGTAGTATAATTTAAGGTTTGGTATTGTGATCCCTCCTGCTTCAATTTTCTTGCTGAGGATTGGTTTGGCTACTCTGGGCCTCTTATTTTTCCAAACAAATTTCATGACTGCCTCTTCTATTTCTATAAAGAATGTCATTGGAACCTTAATAAGAATTGCATTAAATCTGTATAGTGCTTTTTGATAGTTTGGCCATTTGACAATATTAATTCTCATTACCCATTTTAAGATAACTTAAAAGTATTATACATATGTGATAATATCCATATTATCTTTTTAAGATAATTTAAAAGCATATACATACCTGTACGTATACAAACACACACACAAAAATTTATTCAATTATATTTCTTTAGGTCTGAATGAGCTTTATGCACTAAAAGCAATGTATTTATAGGAATGATTTCTTGTGGAGTCTTCTTTACTTTTTACAGCTTCTAAAGGCTATCTTCCTTCCCTTGGTTTGGCCTCTCAGCACGTTGTTTTTTCCCCTATCATTTCAGTTGTCAACTGCCCTTTCTGAAATTGTCTCTTGTCTTCCTCTTATGAGGATAGTTAAGTTACTTGGGGTCATTTGGGATAATCCAGGATAATATACCCATATTAAAAATTTTAACTTAATCATATCTAGACTTTTTTTTTTTTTTTTTTGCTGTGTGAGATAACTTATTCTATTGGTTTTGGAAATGAGCATCTGGTCATCTTTAGGGGACTGTTTTTCAATTTATCACAGGTTTAAGATAGAGTCAAATTTATGCTGTTTATTCCCATAAATAGATGTTTTTAAAAATTATATTTGGGTACTCATTTACTTTTTTGGTAATTATTATGCCTTGTCATTTCATATTTCACTTTTGCAAAGCTTATTTTCATTCTTTTAATTTATTTTTTACATTTTCCCATTCGTCTTTATGAAGTATTGCTAACAGTACGATATTGTTATTTTCAAGTATACCCCTCTGTTTGTTTTGTCCACATTTAAAAAATAATTTAAATTGTTACTTAGTTACTTATTATCATTTTCTTTTCTTTACTTTTCTTTTCTCCCCCCTCTCTCTCTTTCTCTCTCTCTTTCTTTCTTTTTTGGCTAGGAAGATGCAAAGAAGAAACCCTTAAGAAGCTCTTAGTATAGAGTAGATGTAATTTTTTCTAGGACCTGGGTCCTTAAAACATTCTGTTCACTAAAGTGATTATATTAACAAGTCATGTTTCTCTGGAAGGATTCCCTAAGACATCAAAATACCAATTTATTGTAAAAAAGCAATTACTGACTAATAAGCAAACCAGCATGAATTTACCAAGAAATCTGTGCAGATTTAGAAAATAGGCCATGGACTTAGAATGATGGTGATGTAAATGATAATTATCATTTATTGAATTCTACCGTTTAGAGTAATCTGTCTTCTGGACATTTCTAGGTCTCCTACAAATATTCTCACTCATTAGTTCAATTTTCCCAAGCCCTGTTCTCCACGTTTCTGTTGGTATATCTTCCCCTGAAACTCAATGCAATATAAAGACTTGCATTCTTTATAGTAGTCATGAGCTTACACCCAGAACATCAATCAGCAGATGACTTATATCTATCTCTCTGTGGGTTCATTGTGGTTAAAAACACTTGTTCTGTTTACATTTTGATTCTTGAAAGTTTCAAGCTTCAGAGTTTATCATTTTCTGATTTTATGGCCAAATTATGAAGCTTTTTCTAATTTAAAATCTATTGTCTCTTATGTATTAATAACTTTTGGCAGTGTGTGTGGCATAGTTCTTTCATGATATTAATATATACTCTACAAATGAGGTGTTTCCAGAGGCCTTTCCACCATCCCTACCTGTTTTCCTATGGCTTATATGTGTATAAATGAGTTTGAAACTCCCATTGAATGCAGCCTTTTTAGGGGCAAGTTCTCTAAAAGACGGTGGGGTGATCTGTCTTTATGTTAATATTGGATAGGTTTGTGGACTTAGTTTATAATTCTTTCCATAATCACACTGAACCCCATTCCTTGCCATAATCCCTTTCCCTATTACTTGCCTGATAACATACACACTGCTGAGTGTCACATTAATTCATTTCTTTTACCCGAGGCACAGATCTTACCCTTACTATATTACCATTGAAATTTGAAATAAATTTAAAATTCTTCTGTCATTTTCATTCATTTTAGGCCCTAAACTTCTGAACCTAAGTATTTTTACTCTGTGAAGAAGATGGTCTAGGTGTAAAGTAAAATGAATGTCATAGATCACAATATATTTGAAAGCATTTTGAATTTGGGTTTTATTTCCAAATACTTTCTTCCATTTTGTTGATGATAACTTTTCCTAACTATTGTGACAACTAATAATGTTTAATTTCATTTTCTTATGAAAATTATATTTTTATTTCCTTTCATTTTCCTATAAAAAGGAAAATGAAAGGAAATAAAAATATAATCTAAATATATACTTTCTGTTAATGTCTTCACTTCTTAAAAAAATTGTAGTAATTTATATTTAATTTATTGTTTTTTAGTATTGTGCTTCTGCTAAGCCAAAAACAGACACTTGAAGAGCTGAAACAATCGGTCCAACAGCTGAAATGTACTGAGGCAAAGTTTGCAGCACAGAAAGAATTACTAGAGCAAAAAGTACAAGAAAATGATGGAAAAGAGCCACCTCCAATAGTAAATTATGAAGAAGATGCAAGATCAGTTACATCTATGGTAAGCCAAAGAGTAATCCAGTGAGTGACTTGAAAGAGCAGTGTCTAGGCAACAAGTGAATACAAAATTTAGTTCTAACTTGCTATAACAAATTATTGCTTTTGTTAATATGGTCCTATTAGACTTGTTTTTAAATGCAAAATAGAGTTGTCAGTCATCTCAGGTCACCTGGAGAGCACTTTCAAAACCAGCTGTAGAGTCAGAGGAAAACGTTCATCTCTTGCCTTCAAAACTGCAAAGAAAGAACTATAATTGTTTTTGTTCCTGGGAGACAGCAGGAAGGCAGGGTGTATTTCTTAAGATAGAAGTAAGAAATAAGGAGAAAACTGTTTATTATTAGTTTTTTCTTCTTAAGAGTAGTAGAGTTTTATTTACCTCAGATTGGTGGTATGTTTATTGTTTTCATAAATCAAAATATTGATTTAGTTTTAAAAAGAAGTTTTAGCTAGTAATTCACCAACTTGAAGTTTATTTTATTAATTGTTTAAAAATGCCTGGAATAAAATTCTTTCATTTCCCTCTCTCTGTCCTTATCTCCCCTTCTCTTTCCCTCTTCTTTCTGTTGATGGTTCTCACTAAGGGGAAGTTTTGCCGAATAGGGGAGATTTGGCAGCATCTTCAGACATTTTTCAACGTAACAACTAGTTGATGCTATTGGTGTCTAAAGGCTGTTAAATAGCTTCCATTCATAGAACAGCCTGTTTATCACATCTCCAATGAAAAGTTATCCAACCCAAAGTGTCAATAGTGCTGTGGTTGAAAAAACCTGAGCTATATCCTTGTTTTTTCTGTGGGTTAGCTGGATGTATTCCATAGATAGAACTATTATAGTAAATGAATTTATAGTTGATATTTTAGTAACTTTTGGCTTATGTGATTCTAAAAAGTATAGTTTGATTAGTAAATGGATTCAAATATCTTCAAAAGGCTGAATTAGAAACTGTTAAATGTGGAAATAAATATAAAATATTTGAAATATTGTGGTTACTGCTATTTTTGTTATTAACTGAGCCGTACTAATCTATAGATCACTTCATGAATTTTAGTTCCTTGCTCTACAGTACTGTTAGATTCTCCTTATTGCTTTATGATTCTCCTTAACAATCTGGTCTATACATTCTTTCAGAGAAGTTTTTCATTTTTTTTCTTTTACTTGGCATTTGAGAACTTTAAGTCTTTTTTTGCTTTTGAGTGTATTTTTTAATATTTTCCTATCACCATGTGGATGTGGAATTTGTTAGTTATTTGGTTAATGGCTTGACTTAGTGGTGGATTGGTTAATACTGGTTAATTTAAGTGTAGATAACTCATATTGACATTATCATGATAGAATAAAAGATAGTTATTTGAGTTGTTAGATGATAGCTATTCTTATTGATAACTATGTATATAAACATGACTTTCAAATATAAAATATATTAGTTAGTTCTCATTTTCTTAAGATTTTATAATCATTTGGAGTTTAATATTTCATAATCTTTGAGGAAAATCTTTATTCACCAAATGAATTGAATAAACAATGTTTCAAAGGGAATGTATAATAAAGTTTAAGAGAACAAACCACCTTTTGGCACCTTCAAGCTCTTCTCTCATACTCATTTATTAAGTGGTGATAATACCTGTTTATTTTTGCAAAGCAATGCTAGATATTTTATTTCATCCAATTTATTTTAAATAATTGAAAGAATAATTATAAATATGTCTTATCTAGTCATTTAAACAGTGTCTTTAGTAAGTGTTTAGTTGAAAAATTAAAGTCAATAAGTTTTTACAATTAGTTAATTCTATAGAGGAATACTATAATATATGTAGTTAAAAGTAATAGATTTATACTATAATATATGTAGTTAAAAGTAATAGACAGGGGATCCCCCAAATTAATGCCAATTAATGAGATTTTATAATATATTTTATGAAGAAAGTAGAAATACTTGCAATGTATGGTTCTTAAAAATTGATACTCCCACTAATATCAATGGAATTTTTGTATACTTTAATATTTTTGAATAGTATTTAGAATGCATCTTTTCAGTTTACTTGAAAACAATAAAAATAGTAAAGCATAAATGATTTTTCCCCCCATGGTTTTTTAAGCACTGTTTTATGAGCAACCTTACAAAAAGAGCCTGGATTTAACATAAGTTTTATGGGCTTTTCCTTTTTAAAAAATTCTATCTCATAAATGGTGTAAAATTTAAATAAGAGAATTTAGTTGACTATTGTAAGAATTGAAAAACCTTAACATTAAACTATAATATTATGGAAAGTTGTGAAAACTGGGCCTAAATTTTATTTAAGAGCTGAAGAGACAGATAACTAATCCCTATAATCCTTGTTAATGGCAATTACACCGAAAACATTGACTCTTCAGTGGTGAATGTTTTTGTGGCAGAATATTTTCAAGAATTGTACCATTGGCCATGGATGAGTATTCTTATGGATTCTAAGCAATGCAGATATATAACCAGAGTAAGCATTGTGTAATCAGGTTCTTAGATGTATTGTTGCTTCTTTTGGCTTCATAATTCAATGAGATAAAACCCATCTATCAATTTGTAAAAAATCCAAAAAAATATTGAATATAAATTATGTTGTATAATGTATTAATCTCTTTCTGCATAGATCATTCTTCTGATATTATCTTTTTCATATAGTATAATTTTGGCCAGAATACAGAGGAGAACATGATAAATATTAAATATTACACAAAAATTCTCTACTGTTTTTGATTATGTGGTTTTCATTTTTATTCAAGCATTATTTATTGATCACCTACTGTGTGATGAGCACATTTCTAGATGTTGGTATACATCAGTGAATAAAACAAATAAAAAGAATCTCTTCTCTTCAAGATTACTCATTCCATAGGGAGTGGCAGTTAATAAATAAGTAAATTAAATATTACACTGGAAGGTGATAAGTTTCAAGGAGTAAATACAGAGCAGTCTAAAGGATTGGGGGTCTAGAGTGGGACAGTTTTAAAGGCTGGTCTGGATAAATAACAACGAGAAGGTGAGCAAACACTTGAAACAGGGATGTAGTTAGCAAGACACTCTAATGTCTGAGGAAAGCACATTCTGCTCACAGGTGCATTCATTGTAATGACTGTAAGGCAGGAGCATGTCTGGACTGTTCAAGTACAGCCAGGAGTCCTGAATAGAGGAAGGTGTGAAAGCAGAGGTCAGAGAAATTATGAAGAATAGATTTTAGGGCTTTATGGGTCATGATTAAGGTTATAGCTTTTCTCTGAGGTAAGCAGGGAGCCTTTGGGTTGGGGAGTTATAACAGAGGAACGATATGCCATGACTTTGGAGTGTAATGGTTCACTGTGGCAACTGTGTTGAGAATGTATTTAATGGGATAAAAAATGGGAAAATGAGACTATTGGAAGTAACCTAGATGAAAGAAGATGATGGTTTGAGCAAGGATGGTAGGTCTTGATATAATTTGAGGGTTAAGCGACTGTGGATGTGAAGTATGAGAGGAGTCAAAGATGACTTTAAGATTTTTAGCTCGTGTTGTTGGAGGAATGGAATTGGTTTTGAGTGAAATTGAAAAGCTATAGGTAGAACAGCTTTGATGAGGAAGATCAAAATTTCAGTTGGTTTTTCCAAAAAGATATGTCAGTAGAAATTGGATATTTGGCCCTGGAGGTTAGGAGCATGATTTGAACTACAAATATAAATTTGAGTGTTGTAGGTGTTAGATGGTACTTAACTGATTTGAGTGCTCAAAATCACTAGATGAGAGAAGGTAAAAAAGAAAAGAGAAACACAGATTAAAGTCTGGGGCATTTCAGTTAAGAGGTTTACAAACAGGAGTAACAATAGAAGAGACTGAGAACTAACCAATATAGGAGATGAAAAATTAAGAAAATCAGATGTCCTTGAAGCCTAGTGAAGAAAATATATCAAGGCAAAGGGAGTAATCAGTTGAATTAAATGTTATTGATGAGTGCTATAAAGTGAGAACCGATAATTGAGTATTAGAAGTAACAAAATGAAGGTCACTACTGAGCAGTTTCAATAGAATATAGAGGATAAAACCTATTTAAGAGGGATATAAGAGAGAAGGAAATGAGAATTGTATGAAGTGAGCAAAGACAAGTTTTACAAGGATTTCTATAAAGGTCAAAGGTACACATAAAAAAATTCAGGCAGTAAATTTGGGAATGTTCAGTACTTACTTAAAGAAGAAGAAATTATTTTATCTGAATGCTAAAGATATAATCCAGTAGAAAGGCAAAAACAAACCAACCAACCATTTTTTTTTCAGGTAAGGAAGAAGTTTTTAGAATTAATAGGTGAGAGATTATGAGTTATAATACTCAAATGGGGTAGCTTTGATATTGTCACAATAATTGAAAGGCAGGATGGTGATTCCTGATAGGTGTGTGGATGTGGTGGTGATAGAGATTCTGGGAATGTTTTCTTCTGATTGCTTATTGGCTGAGAATGAAAGTGTTAGAAGAGTTATTGGATATTGGAAGAACAGGAGAAGGAGAATGGGAGAATGAATGGACTAGGACAATATAGTGTGATTGCTAGGTAGTAACAAAGGCTCCCTTGAGGTTGTGATCCTGCACAACACAACCAAGAATATATGATGGAAGATACAGTGCTGGATCACAAGTTTAGGATGGGACTTGTAAGTAATGTTGCATAAAGTGTGTTCAGCTACACTGGCATGATGCAGAGTAGGCTGTCTAGAGTTAGATTTATTTAATGCTGTGGTTTTCCTAGGTATGTATGATGAATGAATTAAGAAAGGGGCAAAGGAGGAAAGCTTCGCGTAAGAAAGTGATTATAATGATTGAGTAAAGAATTTAAGTTATTAAGGAAGAGAAAAGATGTCAAGAGGAGAGTGATAGTTAAAAGAAGTGGTAGGATCAGTTTATGAGTCCAGAGTGGTCGAGTGGTCAAAAGACCATTATAAACATGCAAATGTAAAACTTTGAATGGCAATGCTTATCTTCCAGATGTTAGCTTATAATTTAAGAA